TCTCTCTCTCTCTCTCTCCCCTTCTCTCTCTCTCTCTCTCTCCCCTTCTCTCTGTCTCCTTCCTCCTCCTCCTCCTCCCTCTCTCTCTCTCCCCTTCTCTCTGTCTCCTTCCTCCTCCTCCTCCTCCTCCTCCTCCTCCTCTCTCCCCTTAAATATGACAGTTCCAGAATTCACACCTCCACAAGGAACGCAAGATATATCTTCATCAGGTATTGGCGGCAGCAGCTGTGATATTTAAAGCAGAACTCCAGGCAAATCCAATCTGAACCCTTGCGGTGGGGCTATCCTCACACTGCAGGGGTTATGCGCTCGTTTTGTCTAGGGAGCTAAAGTTCTACGTGCCTAAACCACAGTCCCGGCTGGCTCTTAGACCGCTCCCTTCAGCTTTGCCCCCCTCAACTCCAGCGGTCTATGGTCATGTGAATCATCACGTTCTATACAGGGTATTGAACATGGGGATGCTGTGGGACCATCACTGGAACGGGGGAGGAGACAGGCTGGAGGGAGCGATGTAAGAGCCAGCCGGGATTGCGGTTCGGGTGAGTGTAACTTTACATCAGCTCCCTTGACAAAACGAGCACTTAACTCTTGCAGTGTAGGGGGTAGTCCCACTGCAAAGGTTAAGATTTGATTTGCCCAGAGTTTTGCTTTCATCACATTAAGCTGATCTAGCATATTATTTACAAATAGTGATTTTCTTCTTGCAATCATAATGGAAGGTCTGCTGTAAGCCGAGGGAAAGCATTAGCTGCCAGGCACTAGGGACCAAGATGACAGGCTAATGTCTGGAGATCCCATATAACCCTCATGGACATGGAGACTCGTATCCTAAGAGAACATGTGTTTACCTTGAAAGTGCAACATCACCATGTGGGGAAAAATCCATGATCATCCAGAGATGAGCTGACTTTCCAAATGAAATGTTCCCTGTGTTCTCTTATTTTAGGGAACATAAACTTGTACCCATAACATCACCTTTCTATATGACGCAGGCTTTATTTGAAGGATCTTAATCTGTCACAGTGCTTCATCAATCTTGGCTAGTCGCTCCATTGAAAAGCAGACGCAGTGTCAGCAGTGTAATGTTCTCCAGCTGAATCAGAACACTGTTCTCTCTCCGAGTCCTCAAACACTATATTATAAAGAATCTTTATGTCAATACAATCAGATTCATGTAAATGTTACCATTGGGTGTTCATTTACAAATATTGACTCTGTGCATAAATTGGAAATATATATTAGAGATATATGGAGATGTATATATCTCAGAGACATGCGGGTAGGTTAATAGTTTTCTGTCTAAATCAGCCCTAGTATGTGTCTGTGTATGTATGCGTTTGATTTAGGGACCTTAGATCGTAAGATCCTCGGGGTCATGGACTGATGTGAATGTGCACTATGGATAACGCTGTGTAAATTGTCATCACTATATAAATACACATATACATACACTATATTGCCAAAAGTATTGGGCCAGCCCTCCAAATCATTGGATTCAGGTGTTTCAATCACCCCCTTGGCCACAGGTGTATAAAATCAAGCACCTAGGCATGCAGACACTTCTACAAACATTTGTGAAAGAATGGGTCGCTCTCAGGACAATGTAAATAAAGCTATACAACGAGGGAAATCTAAATCATTTATAAGGAAATATGCCTAGGTAAGATAATTTAATGATTGAATATTCAGATTCGTACATAAGCCTGCCTGTAAGTGGCTATCTTAAAGGGACCCAAAAGTAACAGGTGGAGTCTGGTGGGTGGAGATTCACACTGGCTTCTGTGGTCTCTGACATTAACATCCGCCTGGCAGAGTTCCTGTCCACTGTGCAGTTCCCATGCCCCCTGTAATATAATATACACTGAGTGGCCAGATTATTATGACCACCCCATCAGTACTTCGTTGGGCCACGAGATGACTTTGTTGGGCCGCCTCGTGACTCCACGAGATGTTGAAAGGTGATGTGAGGAATCTGACACTGCACTGTTGCCCTTCTGTTGTCTTGTACCAGTCTTGCCACTCTCCGTTCTGCCCTAACATTGACTAGTCGCTGACGGCCACAATTCGCACGTTCAGACCCAGATTTTCGGCTGACACCCCAATCTTTAAACACTTTAACAATGAGCCCCTCTTGAACATTTAACGAATTCTGCTGTTTTGCTGATACTCGCTCCATGGCTCCGAGCGCCAACAATCATCCCACGTTCATAGGCTGTTAAATCGCGTTGTTTACCCGTATCTTCAGAAACAAATCACTTCTACTGTCGTGGTAAACAACCTGCTTCCCTATTTATAATGGTCTGGCCCTCTAGCAACTTCAGCGTGAAATTATAGCTAATTTGCCTACAAACGTCAGGTGGTCATAATAATCTGGCCACTCAGTGTATATTAATTACAAATCCATGTTGACAGTGGCCCCTCTATTAATGGCCACAGCAGGTATACTGACCCAAGAGCCTAAGAAAAGATCTTCCCACGGTAGTCACTGAGAGATTACAGAAGCTGCTTGCCAATTTCTATATAAATGTTTCTCTTTACAGTGCTTTCTACAGGAGTAGCTCGGCCTTTAAATCTAACTAAACACTGACTATTCAGGTTTATATTGTGCACCTTTAATATATCTCTCCCTCCTCTACAGGTTCAAGGTGTGATGATGTCACTGGCCCAGATACAGGGATTGAATGGTCCCCTGGACCTGTACAAACAGCACATGCAGCAGCTGATGCAGTGGGCTTCAGAAAGTCATGACCATTGGACCAGTTTTTGCATGGAGAGGGCCCAGTATGAAGTCCTTGTATCGGAGTCTGGTAAGCATTCTTAAATCATTCCAAGGAGCTATTAAAGTTTCTGTCTGGACTAAATGAAAATAAAACATATTTAAAGCAGAACTGGGGGCACATAGAATCTGTGCTCAACTTTGTCTAGGTTCTAGAAAAAAAAAAAGTTATACTCACCCAAACTATGGAGCTGGCTGCTACTCTGGTCCCTGAAGCCTGTCTCTTCCTCTGCTACAGCGATGGTATGTCCCTCAGCATCCTCACATCCTATATACTGTGTATAGAATGATAAATCAAGTATCCTAAGAGCGCTGCAGCGGAGGGGGAGAGAGGCTCCAGGGACTTTTTTTTTTAAGCAACTTAGCTCTTGCAGGGCAGTGCTAGCCCTACTGCAAGGGTTAAGAACTTTTTTTGTCTGGCGTTCTGCTTTAAGTGTCCACTTTATGACAGCAATCCCCTCTTGAGGTTCTGTAGTTTTTCTTGACAGGAAGAGGCTGTATCAGCTGTATTGAACTAGACAGAGCCATGTGTGCTGCAGTGGCTACATTTGGTCCAGTAACAAACCCACTTTTAGCCCTTTCAGCAGGACTTTTTGACATGCAGTCTCCAAAAAATGCTCACCTTCTCAGTTCATAACTGCTGAGTTCTAACTGTGTCGAAACTGGTGGTTGGCCTTTGTTTGCATTACAGTGTAGCCTGAGCATATCATGATTTCATTTAGGCTCGGATCCAGTCGGCTAACCTATAAGTGTATTCCAGTCAGTGCACTTTTATGTAACATCTGCCTGATAGTCATTTTTAGGAAGGCTTTTAAACTGTTTTCAAATGTGACCAAAGCCTTTTGTGATATTTGCCTAGAACAGCATTCTTAATCATCTTTCAGCCAGGGCACCCTTTAAAAATAAACAAAATCTTGAGGCACCCCAGTGTAAAATGTAAATTGTGTATATAATGCATATGTATGTGTGTATATAGCTAGCTAGATAGATATATATGTGTGTGGGTAGATCGCTAGATACATACATATACACACAGTACATTGGTATCACCTGACTAAAGCCTAACGCATACAATATTTTCAATTAAAGCCAAGGGCTTCAAAGTGAATTTCCTACTGACATATTCTATTACCAGATTTTGTTAGGCTTTTCATAATTCAAGTCTGGTCACAATTTATTGCAGGTTTTTTCACTCCCTTAAAATATTGCTGACTAGTAACTGGCATAATTGTAGGTTTCTAAGAGATGTTTTTTAAGAGGAACTTTACCCATATTTTTGAGATGGCAACAAATACACCTAGAAATGGCAATCTACAGACAGATACTTATAGATCATTGCAGGCTTTGCATACCTTATTTCTCTTTTCCTCCCCAGTCTTCACAGTGGCCATTTTTACTAAGGGCAGATTACTAGATCCCTGGAACTCTGGCACATGTGACTAGGACATGTGACCATGCACATAATCTCAGGGGAGGAAAATGCCTTTCCCTGAGATTTCATGAGATTACAGATGAGATTTCCCAGCAATGCTCTGCTGATGTAACCTTCCCAGGATGCAACACTTGGGTACATTACATCACTAATGCCCAAGAGGACCTGGAAGTGGAAAAACAATAATTGTAAGTAAAAGAAAAATGTTTAATGAATGTAAGATGATTTCATATCGGCATGCAGAGCTGCAAGCTGAGGGGATTTTTAGTGAAAGGGGGTAAAGATCCACTTTAAGGAGAGCAGCAAGATATGCCACATTTTATCTACGTAAAATAAAAGTACAGTAAACTCCCCGTTATCCGGCATCCATGGGGATTGGTAGATGCCGGATAAATGTAGTTTCTGGTTGCTTGGGATTTACTATTACAGATAGGTCTGACTAATGCCATACCCCATACTATACCCAGGGGCGTCTCGAGGCCGGATGTTACTTGGTCTCCAGACCGGTTGACACCCCGCCGTGTCGCCGTCGCGCCTGCACGGCCATCTGATTGACGCCTGTTGGCGGCCATCTTGGTGATGGACGCTGGCAGAGAGAGGAGGGGAAGTTCTCCCGGCGGGATGAGTTATGCCGCCAGGTCCCCTCCTCCCTCATGACACTGTCGGGCTCTCGGTCCATGACCGAGTACCTGACTTTTTAGAGTGGGTGACACCAAAATGACAGTCATAATGGTGTCACCCGGGTGCGGGCCGCACCCCCTTTGTGACGCCACTGACTATCATAACATAAACTCTGTAGTGACTTCATATTAATATTGAAATGCAGTAATCAAAAGCAAATTAAGACAAATAGACACACAATAATTTCCAGGATAATACATGCCGCAGGACAGTGAGTACACAGGGGATTGTTTTTTTTTCTGGTTAGATGAGAGTTCTGGTTATTTGAATACCTGATAACTGAGAGTTTGCTGTACATGAGAAATAAAGATTTGACAAAATAGACCAGAAATTGCCCAAATGAAATCTGCCCACATTTAATCCAGTAGAAGTATTATTATTCTCATTATATTAAACGATTTGTTAATCTAGCCTCTCATAAAACCATTTCAAGGGACACGGCAAAATGCAATAATCCTGCCTAATGAATGTCTATAGTGGAACTTTGCATATGACACTAGCAAGTCTTACATCTGCCCTTCTTTGAATATCTTGTTTTATTCTGCTCTTCAAACCCGGTCTTGTAGAGATCAGCCCTGCAATACTCATTAATCATACAATATGTTCTTTGTGGCATTGTTCATCCTAATATGTACATGGTGTCTTAGGAATCCCTGGCCGTTTTGCCCGAGGGCAGATACCTGTATTTCTGCCATGCTGTGCAGTAACTGTTTCCCTAAAGTCATAAGATGAAGATTAATTTCACTAATTAACCTGTATGTCCCAATGCCCCTAAACATATCTTGTTCTTTGTCTAAAAGAAACCGGAGTTCAGCCCTGGTTTTCTGAATGTACATGCACTATTAAAGCAACCCTGTCAGGCTGAAAAAAGAAATGTTATTGCAGGTCCGTGCTTTAGAACAGCTCTTACTTACACCTCTCCAGTTGCCCGCGTCTCCTACCTTTCTTCCACTCCCAGCATCTGTAACACTCTTCTGCATTCAACACTTCCGGGAGTGTTGGATACCTGTGTACAGGTGGCCATACATCTGCTGATTATCGTACGATAATCGTGGGAAATACAGCAATCGTACGATAATCGGCAGGTGTATGGAAGGCGTGTGAACGTTTCTACTGTACGGTCGCACATCTTTTGTCTTACAAGCACGCTGGAAAACCAGCCGGGTTTGTGGCGTGCTCGTAAGACAAATGCCAAACGGGCCGGTGCGAGCAAGCGCACACTGCCCGCTCAGCACTGCAGTCATCGGAAGCCCTCCCCTCGGCGGGGAGGGCTTGCGATGATCGCAAGTACGTTCTGCCTGATCTTACCTTACAACCATCGCAAGACGAAAGTTGTGCGATAGTTGTAAAGTGTATGGCCAGCTTTACACGCCACCCGCTGGGGATCATCCTCTAACCTCTGTTACTACATGAACCTTCACAAGGGACACAGACATCTGACACTTCCAGAAGTGTCGAATGCCAAGGAGAGTGATGAAGGCTGGAACAGTGGAAAGGTAGACGCAATCCGCCGGAGAGGTCAGTATAAGAGCGGTTCTATTTCAGTTTTTTTCTAGCCTGACAGGTTTGCTGTAAAGATAGTCCCCAGTCATTATTTAAAGCATATCTGTAGTCAAAAACTAAGCAGTTTAATATTTCTACTAAACTATGGGTTCAGCTAACTTTAGATTAAAGGGTATCTATGGCCAAAAGTAATATATAATAATAAACGAATGAATAAATGCGTATGTGTCTATTGGATTTCCATAAGTTCTATCCCAGTCCTAATAACCATATCCATCTAAAAGTTTGTAAACTTACTTTATGAAGATGCCCATAGGATGTACTTCCTCAATGCAATGACACAATTTCACCCAGCCCTGGGAATATGCACTTCCTTGTGTCATAACTCTCACAGAGCCTACCTTCTGAACTATAACACAATGGCTGAGCAATGTATGATGTAGTCTTGAGAAATCAAGATTGCATCACATCAAGCAGCAGGGAAAGAGACGCAAAGCACACTGGGAATCCAGGAAGTTGATGAAAGTGATGGGCAGATGGAAGGCACGCTCACTGCTTAAAAGGGATTTCTTCAAGTGAGGTTTGATCGCATTATCAAAAACAACTGTAATATGTATTCCTATTACAATGCGGATGTTATTACAGGATTGTATATGCCGGGACTTTAAAACTCCTGTAAATTAAAGGAGAATTATGAGGCGAGTGATTTTCAGTGTGCGAACACATACCGGCGCTCGCTCACTTCTCGATCCTGTGCCGGCAGAGAGCCGTGACAGGGGAGGGACTGGATTCCCTCCTCCTTGCTCCGATCCTCCAGCGCTGACTGGCGGAACAGACGGGGGAGGGGCGGGTACAGCTGGCTCTGCCTCTAGATAGGCAGAGCCAGCTTTCACTCACTCAGCTGTGTGGATCCAGACATAATTGTTGGGATCCGTTCCAGCTGCGGCGTCTCAGTATATACTGAGCTTAGGGTGACGGGAGAACGCTAGTTTGTGTCCTCCTGTTACCATTAGGAGAACTATGGGGAAAAGCCCTAACCCCATAGTTCTTCTTTAAGCAATGAGGTGCACACAGGAGATACAGACTCTGTGCCTATACCATTGTACTGTGGTATATACAGGTGAAACTCGAATAATTAGAATATCGTGCAAAGTTCATTTATTTCACTAATGTAACTTAAAAGGTGAAACTAATATATGAGATAGACTCATTACATGCAAAGCAAGATAGTTCAAGCCGTGATTTGTCATAATTGTGATGATTATGGCTTACAGCTCATGAAAACCCCAAGAACTCCATATCCACAACCTGAAAAAAGTAGATTATTACATGCAATCAATAAAACAAGGATTGTACATAGAACAATATCGGACCTCTGAGAAGTACAAGCATGCATATGTACTCAGTACTTGGTTTGGGCCCCTTTTGCAGCAATTACTGCAATTACTTTTGCACGATATTCTAATTATTCGAGTTTTACCTGTACAGTGAAGGGAATTTATCGAAACTCTAGCATGTAGATTATGGAGCAGCTGTGCATGGTGACCAATCAGCTTATCTCTTTTATTTTAAAACCTTAGCTGGAAAGACTGAAGAGAGGAACTGGTTGCCATGCACAGCTGCTCCAGATTCTGTCTGCTCCAGTTTTGATAAATTCCCCCCTGTATGTTATCTGTATGGTTGTTATGCAGGGAGGTTAATTGGGTCTATTACAGAGCTCCCTCTAGTGGTTAGTGTGCAAATCTCTAATATAAAAACAAATATATTAATGTGCAAGCATTTAAAAATGTTATGGTCACCCCAAACATCTTTAAAGTGACGTTAAACTCCGGAGTTAAATCTTAAAAATGCGTTCAAGTACCTTAGCTATAAACTAAATGTATGTTATTTGTGTATCACTCAGCTGTAGATCCTCAAATCATCTCTGAATTGGTGCTGACACTGTCCTTCCTTCTGGAGAGTGGCTACTTTTGTTCCCCATGGTCCCTGTGTGTGTTGTAAAGTAGCCACCGCTCCAAATTTGCTCCTGTGATGGACTACAATCTGATGTTTAGTTTACTAATTTGTATTGAGATTGTAGTCCATCATGAGAGCAAGCTTGGAGCCATGGCTAGTTTACAACACACACAGGGATCATGGGGAACAAAGTAGCCCCCCTCCAGAAGGAAGGACAGTGTCTGCACCAATTCAGAGATGATTTGAGGATCTACAACCGAGTGATATGCAAATAAGATACATTTTTGTTATTAAGGTACTTTAATGTAATGTATTTTAAAGATTTAACTTTAGCGTCACTTTAAGGTGAATTGCCACAATAACTTAAAATATGTGCTCACTAGAAGTATGCTATACATCCCCTTCACAGCTCCTGGAACCAGTATCTATTGTTGATTAGTTCATATTAAGGGCAGCAAATTAAATCACCACCCCGGTCATGTATGCATCATCATATTATAATTCTATTATGTCTTTTTTAGGTCCGGTCATCGGAGAGAATCTAGATCAGTTAATGCCGGTTTTGAAGACCTGCCTTCAACCAACCAAAGATCCTCAGATGCGCCTGAAAGTGTTCACCATGTTGTCCAAACTTCTCCTGAAACCCAGTGAAACTGTCAACTCAGAAGGGTTTGTCGAGTTTCATAGCTTTTCCTTCACAGTAGAAAAGAATAAGCTTTCATTCATAGAAATTTGGGCACTCATCATAGAATATTGTAGACAGGAATGCTTGAAAGGCGTATTGTTCTGTCCTAGTCCTACACAGAAATGTTAATTAACTAACTAAAGGAAAGCAGAGCACAAGCGTGTCTCTTAAAGCAAACCCCCAGGCAGATGGTCTAATAGATAGCTGAAATTAGTATATTAATGCTCCTCAGGTATGTTCTCCTTTTATAGAGGCAGATATTAACAAATACACCCTAATAAAGGCTCTTACCATTTCCCTTACCTATACCTTTTTTATATGCAACTTTCTTCCTTCTTTTAACTCCGGTGATCTTCATATCTATTCTTCTTCCTTCTCCTCCTACTGTAGTTTAGCTGTACAACTTGATGATCAGTCAGTGCAGGGGCAGTCTTATTGCTTTGATCTCTCCTGCTATAAGCATCCCCCCCTATGTTAGGCCCCATTCACACCAGGGTGGTTGCGGTTTCCGTGCGGATTTTTGAAGGGCGGTTTTGGGTGTTTTTAATTGCGTTTCAGCGCTGAATGGTGTATTGTCAATCAGCCAGCTGGGTGGATCTTGACAGTATTGGCTGCGGTGCTCTCAGTATATAGCCGGCAATAGCTCCCTATATACTGAGCTTTGGGTCACGGGAGGACGTTAGTATATGTTCTCCCGTGACCCTAAAGAGAATTATGGGATAAAAAGGTTACCCCATAGTTTTCTTTAACTGGTCATACACCTTACCATTTTTTGTTGCTGCAAGAACCCTCTTTCGATATTTGCTCAAATAACCCATCATGCACAGACCAATGTCGTTTCAAAAATCTTCGTTAGCGATACTAACTCACCGAATTTCGTCGATCGACAGAACAGATTTCATTTGCACATGTGTAGTGTTCATGTTGCAATTTGTTTCGTACAAAAAAGCGACTAATCCATAGATTTTTCGAATTTCACAAAAAAAAAAAAGTTTTCCAGCCTGACCGAGGAAATTCGGCCAGTTGTACAGTAATTGTTGTCGTTCACTTCCCATCAAATGGCTGAATAGTGTGTGCGAAAACCCGGTCACATTCGATCTCAAAACGATAATCGCACGGTGTATGGGCACCTTAAGTCTTAAAACAAACATGTCAGCCTTAATCAGCATGCATCACTGAGAGTTGTTAAAGTAGTATTAAGGTCTGGGCGTTTTTTATCTTAATGCATTCTCTGCATTAGGGTAAAAACAGCCCAGGACCTTCTATTTTTTACTCCAGTCTCCCCCACACTTACCTCTCAGCTGCGCTCGTCCCCGCGGCTGGTCCCGAAGCGATCCTTCGTACCCCGAACTTTCCGGGTTGCAGGGGAGGATACTGATGGCAGAGGAGCCATAGGCTCCTTCTGCCATCAATCAAAGAAGGAAGGGGCGTGGCCTGCCACAGGGCTGTGTGTGTGTGTCTATGGACGCACACAGCCGATGCGGGGACGAGTGCGCACAGATGCCTCCATTAGAAGGATGGTGGCACCCGTGGAGGGGGCGGGGGGAAGAGCATGGCGGGGACACACTAGAAAACGAGGAAAGAGGTACTTAAAAAAAAACAAAAAACAGCAGCATCCAGCAAAGGAGGGTCTCCTTAAAGGAGAAATGGAAAAAAAAAATTGGCTTTTTTAAGTTACATGTTGGCTTGTTACAAAAAACTACTTCCACCATTGATGGATATATGTGAAAGTTCTCAAATCAGTGTAATACTTCAGCTATTTGGCCTGGTATTTGAAGCAAATTGTAGAATTCGATACCAATAAACATGATTTTAGTCTCATTTTATGTCCATGAATAAACAGCTTTATATAGACTGCTCTGTTGGCATTTTTCAGAACAGAATTTGTAGTTCTGCAGTTTTTCTACTCTGTTTGAATTTAATGTTGAAGCGCCTCCTGCTGGCAAATCGGCAAGAAATAGAACAGTCATCAACCAGAATAATTCTATTGGTATAAAGTAGGGCTGTTACTGATTAAAATTTTCGTGTTCGATGAATCAAAATTTTTTTTAATCGATTAATTTCGATTAACTATAACGCACATACAGATCCAACTACACTGGCCTATACACATACAGCACAGCAATGAAGTAATAAAATGAACTAGGATCACACTAATCCAGCACGTTATTAATCTCACGTGCCCCACTCAATATGGCCGCCGCTTGAGTGGGGCAACTCAGAATAATAACGTGCTGGATTAGTGTGATCCTAGTTCATTTTATTACTTCATTGCTGTGCTGTATGTGTATAGGCCAATGCCTTGGCTGGCGCTCGTGCAGAACAAGTTTCTTGGGCAAACCTCTTAGTTGTAATGAAACCGGAAGTCAGGCGGTCGCAGAAGTCGATAAGTGTCGGCAGATCACCAGTGATCGAGCGAAAGTTCGAACTTATCGAGTTCTGGGACCATAGTATCATAGACCATAGTAATCCATCACGTTCTTAATTGAGTGGGGCACCTGAGATAAATGACGTGCTGGATTTCTGTGATCCTAGTTCATTTTAGTACTTTATTGCTGTGCTGTATGTATATAGGGCAATGCCGCGGATGGCGCTCGTGCAGAAGAACTTTCTTGGCCAAACCTCATAGTTCTAAGGAAACCGAAAGTCAGGCGGTCCCAGAACTCGATAAGTTGGGACTATCGATAGAACACCGGCCCAAGTGGCTCCGTCGGCTAACGAAGGAAAGGGGGAGGAGTCCCGTGACGTCACGGACATCTATGTCACCGGACTCCTCCCCCCTTCCCTTCGTTAGCCGACGGAGCCACTTGGGGAAGGGGGAGGAGTCAGGTGATGTCCATGACGTCACCAGATCTCCGACGGGACTCCCGGAAGACCCTGAAGCCGGCGGAGAGGTGAGTGTTTTCATTATTGATCAAAATAATTTTAATCGATCAAAAATATTAACAATTAATCGGGTATTTACTCGTTAATTTCCGCAGCCCTAGTATAAAGTCTAAATAAAACACACAATTCCTTGGATTTCTTTAGACCTGCACAGAACTGGACGAATTACAATAAAAGAAATCCCAGTAGTTACTAAATCTGTTGCTGAAGTTGGATAGCTCCTTTAAGGTGTCACTCACTCCAGAACACTTGCTTTAACACATATTGCTTTGCGTTTTTGAAAGACTCCATTTGTATTAGGCATATAGTAATGCTATAGAATGGATTGCAATTCCGCAGACAGTTGAGTAGGCATATTACATAGTATTTGAGGTTGAATAAAGACATTAGTCATTTTTCTGTTCAGTATTCATTTGGCTGTTCAGATATTAGAGTGTGGAAGAGTTTGAAAGCGTCATATTTGGCAAATGTTATCTGTTAGCATCATTGTAAGAACAAAGTGCATTGACCTCCCCTGTCCTCCTTCTTAGCCTTAGGTTTATTAGTACTGTACATGTACGATTCAATATCACCTAATTGAGGAGCAGCAAAACATTTTAACTGATGGACCCATATTTATACTTTATCTGTTTTACCTGCAGGCAGTTCCATGTGCATTCAGAAACCCTCATAAAGGACATTTTGGCTCCCAACTTGAAATGGCAGGCGGGAAGGACAGCAGCAGCCATCCGGACCATAGCCGTGTCCTGCCTCTGGGTCCTCGTTCACAGTGAAGTTCTTTTGCAGCAAGAGGTACTGTGATGTAATATGCTGGGTTCATGATTTTACCCAACCTTACAATACTGACTGTGGTTTTTTGTCATGAAGTCAACCTGTCAAATAACTGAGGCACATAAACATTACTTGTCTTGAAATCTCTATGGAGGACCTAGGCCCAGGCTGCATACAGGCCCTCAATGTCTACTGGCAACTGTGACATTTGTAAGTTAAATGATAGAGAGTGAGGCTGACTGCCAGGAGGGACCTGGAGAAGTCCATGGCTAGTATACAGACTTAAGCTGGCCATACCTCTATAGATTAGCTGCAGATTTTCTATGGTCAGATGGAAGAAGTGCAACAGATTCCTCCATTTATGCTAAACTGTGTGGATGGAGGAATCTCCCACTGGCCAAGCTTCAGTATCTTGCTAGTCGGCCCCGCTGGCTCTCCGAACACCTGAACAATGCCTGCATCCAATCAGATAGTTCAGGTAGCTGAGCCAACTAGCAAGATACTGAAGCTTGGCCCAGTGGGAGATTCCTCCATCCACACAGTTTAGTGTAGATGGAGGGATCTGTTGCACTTTTCCCATCTGACCATAGAAAATCTGCAGATAATATATAGGGGTATGGCCAGCTTTATGAATGCAAAGAATACCCAATCATGAGCAAGGGGAAAAAAAGTATTTTTGCTTGCATACGATTGGGTGATAGAAGTCAGAGGAGCTTCACCTCATTTATTAAACTAAGGGGAAACTTCCCCTGCAAAGTGCAAATTCCATTGTAAAGTGAACTGTCTTTTATTAAATCAAATCCAACGACCCAGAGGAAGTGTACTGATAAGGACAACTGACTTTCCGATGACTTTACCGGTCTGAATACTTGCTCTGGTTTAGTGACCAAGAGCATTGAAGCCAATAGAAAGGAAAATTCAAGTGTTGTAGGTTGACTCCCATGTTCAGTTTTATAATGACCCCAATAGAGCTGACTGCAATTAGAAGATGACATTTGATTTTCAAATAACCAGTCTTTGGTGTTGGAGCCCCAGAGGTTGATAAGGTTCAAGTTACTTTAGCGCAATAAATTTCACCCAACAGTAAATTTTATCACTGGCTAGTTAATGAATATTGCAGATATTCTAAAGTTTTCAAATGTTTCTGTCACCTTTGTCCCAGTGACAATGGTCACCAGGTCATATAGGGAGAGAGGGGAATAAACAGTAATAAATCCCTGCGTTTCTAATCCCTCACCACTACAAAAGTTTCAAGTGCATTTATACTACACTATACTACATTGCCAGATAATCCCCTAGTCATCACAATCATTGCTTGAAACTCTTACAACTATCTGGCTGTGTACTGGCACCCATACTGCACCCAGGTGACAAAGTGCTCTAACTTGCATTGTGTGTCTTGCAGATCCGTCACATACAGGACATTCTGATGCCCACATTGCTCACCACTCTAGAAGAGGACTCGAAGACGAGCCGTTTGATGTCCTGTCGTATTATCAAGGCTCTCCTAGGGGCCTGCGAACACCATTTAGATCCAGACAGACTGAACAAGATCTACCTTGGCAAGTGTTCTATGAATATTGTTAATTAATCTAAAGATGGATAAATGAATCATTCATTTGTGGGTACCTATAGAAGTTGGATGCACAAATTAATTGGCAGAAACAAGTGCATCAGCTTTCTTTGCACTTGCCTTAAAGACCAGTTGAAGTTTCATTTTAAAGCCTACTTGAACTCTTGCTAAAGCTAAATACATTCCAGGTGAATGAAAACAAAAGGTGTTCAATGTCTTACACTTCATTTTCCTTCAAATGCAGCCACAGCCTGACTAGAGATGCCTGTCCTTTTCCATCAGCTGCAGAGTGGGACCCTTGCTGTCTGCAGAGAAGCAGTTGTCTCTCTGCAAAGGTCCAACACACCCTGTACTGCATCAGACTATAGCTCTGCAGTCAATGAAGCTTGTGCTCCCAGCTGGTTGGAGAGCTCTGGCTCTGAGTTCGCAGGAGGGCATGACAGACCATTGCAGAGAGATGCCTACCTCCCCACAGAGAGCAAGTGTCCCACTTTGCAGCAGGCTGGCAGAGGACAGGCTTTTCTACTTGGGCTATAGTTGCTTCAGAAAGAAAACCCACAGAAAGACATTAAATACTTTTTGTTTTGTTTTAGAATGTATATAGCTGATTGAAACTGAGAGTTTGGCTTTAAATGAGCTAAATACACCCGGTGCATCAAAACAAAAGGTATGCAAAGTGTTAGTTGATTTTCTTTAGAAAGCAGTTGTGACCTGAGTAGAAAAACATGTCACCTGCCAGCATGCTGTAAAGAAGGATCCATGCTCATTTTGGTCAAGCAGCCCTCTCTGCAGAGGTCCAACACTCCCCCCGGGCTTATTTCCACCAGCCTGTGTGCTCATCGCACTGTCCTGTTCCCGGAACGCAAGGGATCACATACACAAAGTCTACTTGGGTTCTTGGGCAGGAGGCGGCGTGGCAGTGCCATTCATGTCAATGGCACTGCAGGCACGCCCCCTCGCTCGCAGTGTGATCGGCTGCACAGGGCGACGTGGTAATACAATGCCCTGCGTTCCAGTGTGGTATGATCGGAAAATATCGTATATGCACTATTTTTTGCGATTGTGCCGCACTTGAACGCAGGGCATTGTTTTAACATGCGATTCTGTGCGGCCGATTGCTTTGCAAGCGGGGGCATGTCTGCAGTGCCATTGACACGAAGGACACAGACATGCCCCAGAACGCAAGGAGACTTTGTGTATGTGATCCGTTGCGTTCCAGGCACACGGGCTAGTGTAAACAAACCCTCCCTCCTGAGTGGGACCTATATGTGTACAATCGGCAAAGCTCATGCTCCATGCTGAGCCTTGGCACTGACCTGCCTTTTTAATAATTTGGCGGATCGGGTGAGTATAACTTTGTTATTTTCAGCCCTAGACCAAAGCGAGTGGTTAACCCTTGCAGTGGCGATTAGCCCCACTTAATTAAAAACAACCTAGAGTTCTTCTTTACAGTGGAAGGAAAGGCTACAAAACTTCATAACTGTTAAATGCTGATTGCCCTTTGCTTCTTTACTCCAAAAGTTTCTACTAAGTCGGCTTCTAAATACATTTTTCTATATGGTCACAATACTAAGCTCCGGCTAGTTCATGTGTCACTTTGTGTCCACAATGCTGTTGAATCCCAAAGCACAGTATCATCACCTGGAGGCGTCCATAGTTCCAGGATGTTGTTGGCTATCAGAGAAACATCTCATTAACATCAGAGAAAGGGGACAGCACCAGACATTTGTGGTCACGTGACCACATATAAAAAATTTGAAAACATTTACAGGGCTATTCACTAAAGTGTGAAGGTTCTCATTCATCCAGGTCTTGGTATATCTGTAAAAAAATAAGTCAAGGCAACTGGACTTGCTGTATTTTTCTTAAAGACGTTTCACTGGTCATCCAACCAGCTTTCTCAATTCAGAATGACTTCTACAAAACATTTCTGGGAAAAAATATGGTGAATGTCGCTCCAATCCACATAATCTGTCACAACCAGGTGTTGATTGCATTTGCATAATTGGAGCTAGGAGGTGTTATTACCTGCCCAGAGAGAGGTGTTAAAACAGCATTGTATGTGGCAGACAATAGATGTCACACTGGGCGTAAACGTCTGCGTAAACAGCCCATCCTGGGAGGGATATGTGCTGTGCATGATTGGGCACAGCAGCCTGTCCCTCCCGGGTCCTGTGGTTTCAGATTAAAGTGACACTAAACTCAGGAGTTAAACCTTAAAAATGCATTCAACTACCTTAAAGTATAATTAAAGCCTCGGGTGTTTTTGCATATATCTACTACTAGTATTACATATATGCAAAAAGTGTTTTTTTTTAAACGCTTTGAAAAGGGTTAATACTTACCCGCGTCTTTCCCGCGCGCTCCCGTCCGAAAATGTGAAAAATCTCGGGCAACCGCAAAGCATCTTGGGGCGGGCGCATGCACAGATCACATTTTCGGCCGGGACGTGAGGAGAGACACAAGGTAAGTCTATGGACGCGTGCACCCGCATGCAGACAACGTGGGACAGGAAGTGCCAGCAAGCCCAGAGGAGTCAGCGCTGGATCGGAGACCCGCCGCAGCGTTGGAGGGATAGATGAAAAAGACAGGAAAGAAGAAGATCGGATTAAGAGACATCATTTAAGGTAAGTGCTGACATTAACATTGGGGGAGGGAAACATTTTTTTGACTTTAATGTCACTTTAACTATTAACAAGAATGTATCTTATTTGTGTATCACTCAGCTGTAGATCCTCAAATCATCTCTGAATTGGTTCTGACTCCTGTGATGAACTACAATCCCAATACAAATTAGTAAACAAAACGTGAGATTGTAGTCCATCACAGGAGTGATCTTGGAGCGGTGGCTACTTTACAACACACACAGGGACCATGAGGAACAAAAGTAACCCCCCTCCAGAAGGAAGGACAGTGCCAGCACCAATTCAGAGATGATTTGAGGATCTACAGCCAAGTGATACACAAATAAGATACATTGTTATTCGTTAAAGTACTTGAATGTATTTTAAAGATTTAACTTTAGCGTCACTTTAAATCGTACAATGAACCCCTCTGTATCATGGCAGTTGGATGTATCATAGATTCTGGTATGCAAATAAATTCAATCTATCAAAAACATTGTGATCCTTTTTATTTATGCTCTTCAATAAAGCTGTTAACAGTAAAAGGGGCCTAATTCCGGGATAAAAACTCAACCTCTTCGCCATTGCTTTCTTACTTATATCAAACAGTAAATATAAGACCCCCTTCCCCACCAAATATCAAACAGCAGAATCAGGGCCCTTCCATGAACCATTTGGTGATGCTCTACTGACTCGTTTAGGTCCCAATATTGGAATCTGTGTTCTCTCCTTGGAAAAACCCTGACTCTGTTGTAAGTTGGGTATATACGGGAGGAATTTTGTGTATATTCATATATAATATACAGTACAACATAATGAGGGTAGTGTTGGAGGTTTTATCTTGGGTCTATGTCCAATGTATGATTTGAGTATAGGTCTGCATGAAAATAGGTTATTTATTTTTCATGAATATATTTAGGAAACAGTAAAGGTGACAAATACAATATTATTAGCTCCCTAAAAACCTTTGTGTGATGCATTTTCTTATTTATCTTTTCTATTGGTCTTCACAGAGGTATTAAAGCGACTTGACGATGCTTCAGATGAAGTCCGAATCACAGCTGCTAAAACACTTAGTGTGTGGTTTAAATGTATTGACGACCGGTATGACAGGACTACCTATAAGGCCCACCTGGAATTCTTATACCGAGGTCTCCTTGTGTACCTTGATGACTCTGATGCAAACCTGCAGTCTACAGTACTAGGTATGTTCTATGTCTAGGAATTTAACATTGCTTTAGAACAGTGCCATATATAAAAAAAATATTGCTTGCCAGCTGATCTACTAAAGCAGACAGCCCGAAAAATGTGTGTTGGGTCCAACTTGTGCTGGATGGAGAAGTAAATGCAATGCTCATGGCATGCTCTATACGTTCCCCTGACATTTGATACGCTTTTAATGGGGAGCCTACAAAGTGCTTGGCGAGTATCAGGAATGTGTGCAGTGTAACACTTTCAACACTTGTTTGTACAGTACTTTTTATAGTTATCCTGTCAGTTTGTCCATTCAGGGCTTGTTCACACCAAGCGTGTTCCAAGAGCAGTTACAGACCGGATCAAAACTGCGTCCAATGTATTCCAATGGTATTTTGGGCTCTAGTTCACACCGCAGCGTTCAGTTCCAGAGCATGAAAAAAAATGCAGCAAGCCCTATTTTTCCTGCTCTGGAACACATGTAAACGCATGACAAACGCATGCCAAAACACTGAAAGGCCATTTTAACCACATGCTGACCGGTGTGTTTAGACCCCCTTCCGGTCCAGGCCATTTTTCAGTATTCAGCGCTGCGGTACTTTGACTGACATTTATTCCGTCATGCAACACTGTACTGAAACAAATTTTATACCATTTTTTTGGGGACAGATAGAGCTTTCTTTTGGTGGTATTAAATCACCACCACGGGGTTTTTTTTTTTACTATATAATGAAAAAAGTACCGAAAATTTTGAAAAAAAACCTGTTCTTAGTACGTTATGTTATAAAACATTTATTATTACCCAATTTTTTGGTAAAATATAAAAGACGGGGTCACGTCGGGTAAATAGACACCAAACAAAAATTGACCATAGCCGACGCTTTAAAAGCTTTTACCGCTCATCAGTTTAGTGTTATCAGTGATTAATGGCCCTAGAATTATTGCTCTCACTCCGATGTTCGCGACGCTATGTAACATGTGCGGCGCAATGGATGTAATCGGCATTTTCGCACGTAGGCGGACTTGGCGCATGTTTGCGTGTGCATGTGGGGGCAGGGGACTTTAATTTTTTTTAATTATTATTATTGCTTTGATATGTGACTTTACATTTTTTTAAACCTTTTTTTTTTCACTGAACTTTATTGCTATCACATAGGGAGCAAACAAGCTCCCTATGTGATAGCCAATTTGCAGTGACAGGTCCTCTTTATGGAGACACCAGGGGTCTTTAAGACCCCTGATGTCACTTGGGGACCCCCAGAGAAGCTGATGAAGCAGAGACCTGCTTCACCAGCTTCTCTCCGGTTTCTGTACCGGAGAGTGACACTGAACGCAGGAAGTGATGTAATACACACCACTGCCTGCATTCCGAAGAGGAGGAGATCAAACGGATTGATCTCCAGCCGCAGAGCTGCTGTGCTGGTCCCGGGATCACACCGGGAGCAGCGGAGCCCGGGATCATCAGCACAGGCTGCGGCGGAAGGGGGGACGCATACCCGCACGCAATTACAAGCGATCGGGCGTCTCTACAGACGCCTTAACACTTGTATGTAAACAGCCATCGCTGGCTGTTTACATAGAAAGCTGATTTCCCGCTCTCTAAAGACTCCCATCCGTTCTCAAGAAGCCGCTGTCCAGCCGATTAATTACAACGGCGGGGCCGGACAGCAGGTGGTTAAACTAAAAAAATATATATATATTTGTTTTATTATTATTTTTTTTAACCAAAAACTTTGCGGAACGCATCAAAAACGCGGTATAATGCACTGCGTGTGCAGAAACTCATGCAGATCTGGTCTGCATTTGGTGTGAACAAGCCCTAAGGGCAAGGTGGTAGATTCTCCTAAAGCCTACTCCCCGACCCAGGCACCTTCACAGTGCTTATTTACCACTTCCGCTGTAGAAGAGAGGCAGGGCTGATTTCACTGCAGCAGAAGCATACTGTGTTATCAGTTCCTGACTGATCAACATGTGTTCCTTTCTCATCTATTGAGGGACACAGGAATTTCGAAATTATGGGGTTATTATTGCAAAACATCAAACCACCCGCACGCACAAACCTTTCATAACAGTCTGTGGGGTTGGGTGCTTGGATTTATGGTGACACTGCATATCGAGGTAGATCTCGGGTGCCCAGTCTATTTCCATTGCCCACGTCACTTCTGGCTGACTTACACCCTCATCACCACCACCTGCCTGATTTTGTGAGTACCTGAGGCGATGCCTCACATTTGGGCTAATTGGGTTACAGCTGCTTGGACGCAACGTGTCATCACGAAGACACAGAAGAAAGTTCAGCTTTTATGGGTGACCTCATCCCTTACTTCCCTAGTGGTTTTGAGAGTGTTTACTTGGTTTCCCCAGAGGGAACTGGAACCTGGCACCCCTATTATAGGGTTGTCATCATTACAGTCTTTCTGAGCTCCACCAGGTGAGGCCGAGTCTTCCTCCATGTCCTCTCACTATTTCTAAGCTGTTTGTGCTCAGCTACTGGTGCATTCTGCCTGGAGAGGCTTTAGACACGCTCCTGTGCAGTCACTTGTGGAGTCTGACTCCTGAGCCATTCAAACCCAGGCCTGTGGCCCCTGTCACTGTCTCTGACTCTGAGTCCCAACAGTCTGTCTCTAAAGAGACTGTTTTTGAGGCACCGCGGTGTCCAGCATTTGATTTGCAAAGGGTTATTTCAAACCTTCTTCATGCAGTGCTTATTAACCTGGACTTTTAATGCTCCTGTAGCTAAGACCTTTCCACTAAACCTGCTATTTAACATATTCCTCAATGTGGGCTGGAAACACCCTGAAGGATCCTGGGCCCCCCAGTGAGCTTTTCCCTTTTGAGAGGGAAATTGTCTATGGTCTGTTCCCACCTCTTATACACCACCTCTTATACACCACCTCTTATACACCACCTCTTATACACCACCTCTTATACACCACTAGACTGGTTGAGGCTATGCTCGCCTTCTGCAATTCCACTGACCGACAACCAGATTCCCTCCTTAAAACCCAGTTTGAATTAACAGTCTAGCCCTCTTTCTAGTGTTGCTGATACCCATTCTGACACAGTTTGACAGAATACAGTTAAGATTCCCCTGAGGGATCCCTTCACCACTGGGGGTATGCCCCAATTTCATGGAGCAGCTGTAGCAATTGTCCTGAGCCTTGTACTTGTTACAAGCATTTTGGCTTCTATCCCCATGCTGGACAATGCAGAACTTACTACTTGTGACCGCACTGTCTTCCTTAGAGACAATGCATTGGTACCTGGCACTCCCAAACTGGTGATTTCCATACCAAAGATAGAGGTTTGGGCACCTGGATACTCCTCATCTCCTGCATGGCAGGCAGAAGTCATCATTGGAAGGCCCTGTGGCCCCCCTGCATTTTCAGCAGGCAGAACACGCTGGGTCCCTGCTGAATATAACCCCTGTCGGGGGTAGAGCCCGTTTAAAGGCCTTCATGGCACTTGATCACCTCGAGCTTGATCCCCCTTCTATGGGTGGTCCACAGCCACTTGAGGAAGTTTCACCAGATCCCTTCTTCCGTGTTCATATGCAAACGGAAGACTTTAATTATTGTCAATGAAGCCTCCAGCCTGCATGTGATCACGGTGTCAGAGCTGACATAGTGGTCACATGGTTAAGAACCACTCTGAATGCTACCCGATTGTCATCTCAGAGGAGCGGATGTTAATGAACATATCCTCATTTGCTGGAGCGAAACCTACATCACTTTGTATAGAGAGGGGAAAGTTTTTATTGCAGTCTCTACTACAGTTGGGCACAACCTGTGCCAGTAATACTGATTTGTCTGCCTCTGTTAGGTTGTGCGTTAGGGAGTTCTGCGTATTGGGTGGGAATCTGACTAGATTAGGAAATGGGACTAGGACTAGGGGGTGTAACATATTTTTTCTTTCAATATACTGACAGTATAAAAACGGTGTGCTTGTGTTTAAAATAAAGCTTGTTTCTATGTACAGTATATTCTGTAATTGTATGTTTATTACCGCTCACTAATATTCATGCAATGCCAGTTTATTGGCTCTAGATGGCAGTGTAATACCAAAATCCAGACCCATACTCTCGCTTGTATTCAATATTATTTTAATTGTTAAGATTTCAATTGTTGTTGAACTACAGATTAGCTGTAAGGTAGCACTGATGCATGCAGTTTGTTACCTGGTGGCCCATGGTTTGCCAAGCCCTAGTTTAGTGTGTTATTTATCTTTTGTATACATAACGATATAACATTTTTGTAGGCACAATGGATCTGGCAAAGGAAGAGTGCACTAGAGCAGGGCTTCTTAAAGTGTGGGTCGCGACCCCATATGGGGTCGCACAAGTGAATGGGGGGGTCACGATCCGAATCCCCAGCCAGGGCCACCAGGGGAAACGGCCAGTACTTGTGTGAGGGGCCCAGGCGGCAGGGGGAAGAGGGGAGGAGAGAGACGA